GCGCCATGCAGTGACGTCCCGAGCTCGCCCGGGATGGCCTGTCATCGATCACCGCCGCGACGAAGGAAACTCGGATGACGCCCGGCGTTTGCCGATTTTGGTATTAGATCCCGCCCTGAGGCCCGAGGGAGGGCGGACCCGTTACAAACATATTACAGCCGATAAGCGTCGACACGGATTCGCTAATGACCCGGCCGGGCGGAGGCGGCGGCCGCGGCGGAGACGCACCATTCAAGGCCGGCTGTTGGAGAGATACGGCCGGTCACGTGACGGGCGCACAATGCGCCGGCGGCCGCGGTGGGCGTGGGAGCGCAGTCGGACCGTGTCGACTGACACCGGCGGCGGCGCACCTGACGACACGGGCCGCCCCGGGCGGTGGCGGAGACAGAGTTGGGCCGCCGGCTGCGCGCTCCGTGTCACGCGTGCAGCCGTGCCCGGCCGCCGGCGCCGCCCGGCACATTGCACAGTGGGGATTTTTCCGATCTAGCGCCTATTAATTCAAAAAATATTTTTTGGATTTTTGTTTATTTTTTGTGTCAGTAGGGCTAAGAAATGTTTGAATTTTTCATATATGGCATTGTTTTATCTGTATGTCCACAGCAAAACTAGGAAAAATGCGCCCAAAGTTAACACTCATGCGTGATTACTCAATGGGCTCAGCAAGGCCCGAAAGTATAGCTCAATTTCATTGTCCTGTCCTGTTGGTTTTAATCTTGCGAGGTCTTAAAGTTGCATATCGTCTGAAAGGCACCTTTATTAGGAATGGAATGGCAAACAGAAAGTATGCCACAACCTTACTAAGGTCACAAAAATGCCCTTTACAAAAAACCTTTACAGACACCATATTGAAGGAATGGTATTCTAAATAAATGTAGGAAATCAACAATGTTCACCACACTTTTCCACTCCGAAATATATCCTATCGAATTCGCCACTTTCTTCTGCACAAGACAACGCCTAGTTTGGCTGCCGAAACTTGCCTGAACACGGAATATTCACATTAGAGTATCTTAACACCCCACTCGAGGAGCGCTAGGGCAAACAGCACGATATAGGTACGTTCCGGACATAGGCGAATAATTTTACTTCGTGATTTATATGATGCATATTTTCTGAGACACATTCATTAGGAATAGGATGACAAGCGTAAATTATACATACCGTAACCTTATTAACCATCGCACTTGTGGGGAGGGGAAGGGGGAAGGGGTCGGATAAAACCCCATGGTTTTCCGCAAATTACTCGCGCAAAAAGCGGCCGATCGCGCCGAAACTTTCGGTACCCTCGAGATCATCAATTTTACATCTAACCTAAAAATTTCATGACTCTGACCCAACTGACCTTTGACCTGTGGCATATTTCTCGAGACCATGTTTGGCCGGAATCGCGATTCGGCGTATGCCAGCTCACATTATCCGCGGTTTCCAGTCTTCTTGTGGTTTTAAACGTTCAAATAAATGATGTTGGTGCCATGCATAATGGTGGGAGTCAAGGTCACGTGAAGGTCAAGTCAAGGTCATTGACCTTTTGATGACCTTGGTTCACTTTTTTCGAAATTTACTTGTTTCTAGGGTAGTTTTTTGGTGCTGATTTCGATTTTAGCAGCCATTTGAATATTTACGAAGTAGTTCTAGTGCCTTCGTTCCATGTTACGAAGCTATCAGTAGTAGGTGACACTTCTATGGATGGCCGGCAGGACGCCTACTAATTGATCTAACGTGACCTGACCCGACCTGGCCTAAATGCATAAAGACATCGTCTGTGATCAAAACTAACATGAAATTCGTGATCAGCACCCCAAAATACCCCGTAACACCCTAACTTTGCGAAGTTTCAAGAGGTCTCGATTTCCCAACTTTAGTTGGGTCATTAAACTGACTTGGAAAGTCAGCTTATGACCTTGGACTTTGAAATTGGATATATTCGGCCTAATTTCGTCATAGGCAGCACGCTTGACTTTTCCGCGAAGCTCTAGCTTGATCAGGGGCCAAACGGCTGAGCGGGGGGGTCCAATTGAACCCCCTATACTATGTTGATTATGCACATTTACAGGTAAAATTCTCACCAGGGCACACCAGCCAACATCTGTGCACAATCTGGCTACAATTCTACCCATGGTTTGCCCTCTACGAATAAATAGGTGCTAGATCGGAAAAATCCCCACTGTGCATTGTCACGGGCGTAACGCGATGATGGCTGGCCGAGCAGCGCGCGGCGCCGGCCGCCGGCGCAGCATCAGCACATTATCGAGTCGCGTCTCGGCGGCCCGGGCCGGCGCGGGGAGCGTGGGAACGCAGCGCGCCGGCCGAGCGGCGTCACGGAGAGCCGGCCGGCCGGCCGCCAGACTGCGGCACAGGAGAGAGCCGCGCGGCGCAGAGGAACGGCCGGCGGCAGCGGGTCGGGCCGCGCTCCGTCGTCAGAGCGGCTGGGTCAGCGCGGACCGTCGAGCTGAGCTCAGCCGGGCGGGGTTCGTTCCGTGTGGTCCGTCGGAGTCGCGCCGACCGGGCCCGTCCCAGACGGCCGCCGGCGGACCCAGTCGCGCTGAACGGTCCGGTCGATCGGGTCAGCTGTCCTCTCGCCGCCGTACCTCCGCGACTGCGAGCCGATCTGCATAGATGACGTGTGCCCTGTCACTGCAACGGTCCTATATCCGGGATAGCTGAGACGACCGACCAGTGGGCCCCGTCCCGTCCGAAAGGCGAGCCGATTCACAGGAATGCGCTATGCATACTGCATAGGCATGCCAGGGCGATGTCGGCAGCACTGCGCACATGTGTTGAATGGACTACTACGGTGCAAGGTAGTAAATACCTGTGCCGGTCTTACGGATCAAGAATGCCCTGGGAATGGAGTACAAATATGCGGCCTGGTTTGTGCCGTTAGCATTTATACCAGATATGTGCATTCTGGCTGTCTTCATAAAGCCGGCGGAGAGTCGGGACGTTTTTGCATGGTAACCAGCCGTCTGTTACAGCGACTGGCTGTATCGTATCGCATTCCGCTCGCTCGCTAAGTATAAGTAAGTGACTGGATTTATCGTTGGTCGGCTTCTAAGGCGGCCGGCCGGCCGGACAGCCCGGCGCCGGGCCGTGCACGCCGGCAGCGGTCTGGTATGCGGCACTGAGCTCCGGGCACTGGCCACTGGCCACTCCGGGCTCGGGCGCACAGAGAGCTCCGGGGTGCCCGGAGAGCTGCGGCACTGGGCTCCGGGCACAGAGAGGTCCGGGGTGTCCGGAGAGCTGCGGCACTGAGCTGCGGCACTGAGCTCCGGGCACAGAGAGCTCCGAGGTGTCCGGAGAGCTGCGGCAGCGAGAGAGCTGCGGCACTGGGCTCCGGGCACAGAGAGGTCCGGGGTGTCCGGAGAGCTGCGGCACTGAGCTGCGGCACTGAGCTCCGGGCACAGAGAGCTCCGAGGTGTCCGGAGAGCTGCGGCAGCGAGAGAGCTGCGGCACTGGGCTCCGGGCACAGAGAGCTCCGGGGTGTCCGGAGAGCTGCGGCACTGAGCTGCGGCACTGAGCTCCGGGCACAGAGAGCTCCGAGGTGTCCGGAGAGCTGCGGCACTGAGCTCCGGCACTGAGCTTCGGGCGCACAGTGAGCTGCGTCAGTCGAGAGAGCTGCGGCGCCGCTCAGTGTTGGCAGCACCAGGAGGGCTGAAGACTGACGGTGCCCCAGAAATGCTGGTTGTGGCGACCGGAGAGGCGCCCTACTGGTTCTATTAGTTGAAGAATTAAACCCTGTATCCTGTTTAAACCCTGTACTTCGAGCACGCCCTCTGTCGTGTGAAACGGGTGATGGCCGCGCGGGCGCCGTCCGCCTCGCCTGCTTACCCCTGACACTTATTGTCGGGCGCAGTGACGTTTTAACGGAACGCGGTAGGATATACGGCTAGCGCGTTATTTTTTGGCCGCCTGGTAAGTTATGTGACAGCTGACTGTTTACGAGCGCGCCAGGGTGTTAACTGCAGCCACGGACGTGCATTTTATTGATGTAGATGTAAATCGAAGCACACCCGTCCGAGCTGATCTTTTAGCGCGGGCGTTATGCGGTCGTGTACGCCAGCCGTTTCGAGATTTGGATAATCTTTGTACCCATGCCGTTTTGTCGTATGACTCTTTGATGCGTCACCTGTCACGCCTGTCATCCCTGACGTCTGACGTGACCCGCCGTTTCGTTCCGGCTCCGTGACCGGCCGACGTGACGCCGCCCGGTGACCTGGCAGCTCTGCCGGCCTTCGCAGCCGCTGCGTGGCGCGTCCCACGGTGCCGGCGCCGTTTAATGGCCCAGTTACCGGTGAAATACGTGACTGTGGCGCTGCGGCGGCTGTGACCGGTGCAGCTCCGGACATCAATCCCGGCCGGGCGGCGCGGCGGCGGCTCCGTGTCCCCGCGCCGCTGCAGTTCACGCACCCGCCGGCCGCCGAGGAGCCCGGTCCCACGGTCTCGCCGCGGACGCCGTGCCGATCGCGCCGGTTGCGACACTCGTAGATACACAGGCCGCCTATCGGTGTCGAATCGATCGGCCGACGAGCACACCTGGGTAAGCGGATAAAGCTCGATTCCCATCTAGTTCAGAGTTTTCTCCCGGTAAACGTGTAGCCTGCAAAGCGCGGCGGCAGAACAATCATCGGGAATCCTGGTCGGACTCCGCGCGGCTCCCATGGCGCGGTGGCCGGTGGGAATCTTCCTCCGTGCTACGCCGGCACGGTAAATTGGGCGCCGGAGCGGGCCGTTCGATCGGAGCCAGTATCGGATCATTAGCGGCCGTACGCACCATGAGCGGTCGCGGCGCGCTCCGAGCCCGCCTCTCACCGCCGGACGATACATAAAACATGGCGCGCTCGGCGGCCGCTGCATAATGAGCGCGGCTCTCACACCTCCGCGCCGCCCGTCCGGCCGGCAGACGTTCCCACCGGCACCGACGCGCACCAAACATCCGCTCCGACGCACTCATAAAGGATCCGTCCGCGGTTATCAACAGGTCTCCATCTCGGCCGACCTCCAGAAACCTTCTCAGGAATGCTCCATTGAAATCCGCGCGCCGGCAGAAAAACAAAATTGTGGGCCGCCAAACAGGGCCGCTTATCAGATGGTAACTTTCTCAGGACAGTTTTAACGGCCGTCGCTTTGTGCGATCCCGGAGCGGCGGTCTCCTCCGCCCGCCGTTCGCCCTCTCCCCTCTGCGGTTCTCACACCGCCCGGCCGCCCGGCCCCTGGATTCAAATCCGCTGGCTAACTGCGTGGGAATCCGCGGGGCGGCGCTGCGGTCGTTTTCCCACGCCGGCCGCCCTGTTGACACGGAGCGCAGTCTGGCGGCCGCTGGCGGCGGCAGTAGCAGAGCGAGCGCAGAGAGGTGAGGACGTGCCAGCTCCGGGGACCACGCCTCGTCCCGACACGGCTGAAAAGTGATCAGAGCGGTGACAGAGAGCGAGACACAGCCGGGTGAGAAGCGCCGGTGAGCTGCGCGCGCCACCGCCGCCGCGCCGCACCATGACGGACCTGTACTGGCCGTACCCCGACTCGCCCGACTCGTGCGTGTCTGCCAGCTCGTGTTCGTCAGTCTCCGAGATGAGCGTCTCGCCGGCGCCGTCGCCACGCCAGTCGGACGCCGCCGACCCGGAGACGGACACAGACGCCGAGACCAAGATCAAGACGGAGGTGAAGGCGGAGCCGGAGCCGGTGCTGACCAAGGCGGAGCCCGTGTCGCCGGCGGCGTCCGAGACCAACGCCAACTCGCCGGCGGCCAGCTGGAGCTCGGAGCGGCTCGACAACGCTGACTGCGCGCTGCGGACAGTCACCTCGTCAGTGAGCGTGCACTACCCGCCGAACCCGTACCGGCGGCCGGACCCGTACCGCGCGCCGGCCGGCCGCAGTCGGCGCCGGCGGCCGCCAGTGACCCCGGCCGCCGCCGCCGCCGCCGCCGCGCCGGACGCCGCCGAACAGCGCCGGTTCCGGCGGGCCGTGGGCGCCGGCGACTGTGCAGCCGTCCGCCAGATGCTGGCCGACGGGGCGCGCGTTGGACTCAACAGCATGGACGCCGAGGGCTGGACGGCGCTGCACCGGGCCGTGCGCAGCGGCGACCTGGAGCTGGTGCGGCTGCTGGTCGGCCACGGCGCCGACTTCCGGCTGGCCGACCGGGACGGCTTCAGCCCGCTGCACATGGCCTCGTGGGCGGGCCACAGTCAGCTGGTGGTGTACCTGCTAGGCCTGCAGCGGTGACCGCCGCCGCGCCGCCCCTCTAGTCCGCCCTCTGTGTGTGCAATCCAGCGCCGCCGCGCCGCCGCCGTGGCGGTTTTCCTCGCAGCTGCCCGGCTGTGTGTGCCAGTATAGGTAGTACATTCCCGCCGGCCCGGTCCGGTCTGAGGCTGGAAGGCCGCCGGCCGGCCCAGCCAAGATGGCGGCGCCCGGCCGCGCCGCCGCCGGCCCCATTCCAATGTGCTCGCGCCCGGCCGCGGGCGCGCGGCGCGCTCAGTGTTGCTCTTGTGCCATGTCTTGTTGATGCGCTCGTATGTTACGGGCCGCGCGGGAGGCGCTCCCTAGGGGACCCGCAGGCTGACCGGCTGAAGGACCTGCAGGTACGACCGCCAAGACTGGTGTTCGCCGAGTGGCCTCTACCGTCTACCTCGATTTTATTATTTTCTTCTCAGGAAGGCGCCAAGCGTACCCAAGTATTATTCTTGTACTTGCTTATTTGCGTGTAGATGAATACATGTTTGTATATTGTTTTTGTTTAGTGTCTGGTTGGCCCTGTGTCTGCTGTGCGCCTGAGGGGATATATCGGTGGTACTGCGGTCCAGACCAGAGTAGCTACCGGCCTTTCCCTGGACACCGTCGCCGAGGTCGAATACGCTGAGTCAAATGCCTTTCACAGCTGACTTGAACAAGTTATCTGGCGTGGCTGTCATCCCTTCTACCATGACACCGATCACTGTGTCTTTGCTTCTTCCCTCGAAATGACGCAGGACAATTAAAGATACCCAATTATAACGAGATCCCGTCTATACATGGACATGCGAGTGTCTAGCATTAAATTTCTTAGCATGATAAACTTCTCAGGGAAAACGTAAAATTAATGTAGGATTAGGTAAGTGTTAACATTTTCACGCAGCTTTTAGAACATATAGCATGCAAATACGAGAGGAGGGAGATTCTGTTCCCATCCAGGTAGGCGAGATGTTTTGAATTAATTGTTTATTTATTTATTTATTTCACATTACAGACATGTCCGTGGAAACACGGCTATTCTATGTCCAAGTCGTTGTGCATATACAAATCGAATGGGATATGACAACAGTCACCGCAATCATTCACACATTCACCCTCATCACGTGTGCTAACTAGGACAGCTAAGTGGCTCGCTCGCGGTCAAACAAATGCTCCCTCAGTGCCGGCTTGAATCGAGCCTGACTGAGAGCGCGCAGGTCCGCCGGCAGCTCGTTATACCCTGACACCGCAGAGTACAGAAAACGGCGACGTCCGGACTCTGACCTGACAGTGGGGGTCACAAGCATGTCATTGTACCTGGTATCCCGCCCGTGTACACTCTGCCGGGTGACTAGACAGGTGGCGAACTGCTGCGGCTCTGACGTGGCCAGCATTTTGTTCACCAGCACGATGGATTGGTACCTGAACAAGCTCTCGGTGTTAAGCCAGCCGAGTTCGTTGATAACATCGCTCACCCGATCATACTTCCTACGGCCTGAGACGACTCGTGCAGCAAACCTAACCAGCTTTTGAAGTCGTTTGCGCTGGGTTACATTGCTGGCACCGTAAACGGACAGACAGTACCTAATAATCGACAAGACGAGCCCCTGCACCAACGTTACCATGACTGTCGCTGGGAGACTGTGTCTACTGTGACTCAGGCCACACAAGGTACCGGTGCACCGCCGCACCACGTCACTGGTATGCGTCACAAACGACATGTCACTGTCAAACCATACTCCCAGGTTCTTGACAGTGTCAGAGCTGGTGATGGTGGAGCCGCAGAAGTTGATGGTAATGGGAGGCAGACGACGAGTCATCTCCGGCGTGCCGAGGACGATCAGCTGAGTTTTGGCAGCGTTTAACTTGAGGCCGTTCTTGCCATACCAGTTCGACAGAACTGATAGACTGCCTTCCAGTGACCGTTTCAGCTGAACGATGTCTCGGCTGTCCGGAAACGTACAGTTGGACGTCGTCCGCGTAGGCGATGATGCCGGTGGAGTTGTCGGTGTAGAGCGGCAGGTCATTAGCATATACATTGTGCAACAATGGCCCGAGCGATGAACCCTGGTAGGTACCGATAGGGTTTAGTAGCGGCTGTGAGAGCGTGTGAGCACGAGACGGTCCGGTAGAGTGAAGCTGCACACGCTGATAATGATTGGCAAGGTAACTCCGGAACCAGCGGGTATCTACACCGTAGAGCTCGAGCTTACGCAGAAGCGAGCTGTGTGGGATGCAGTCGAAGCAGCGCGAGCAGTCCAACAGACAGAGAACGGTGACTTCACGCTGGTCCATGCTCCGGAAAACGTGATCGGTCAGGGTGAGTAGAGCAGTGCAGTGGCGCACCCAAGGGGGGGGCCTTGGGGCCCGGCCCCCCCCCGCTCGGTCATAATTAGGAGGCCCCCTGAGCACCGCTTAGGGTACTTTTACACTTGACTTTCCTGCCTAACCTACTATAATTCTGCACAAGATGCACTATCTGGGCAGAGGCCAGGAGGCCCCCTCTGGTAGGCGACCCTTGATGGGCAGGAGGCCCCTTCTGGATGTGAGGCACCTTCTCACAGGAGGCCCTATCTGGGCAGGAATCAAGAGGCCCCTCTGGCAGGAGATCCTTCATGGGCAGGAGGCCCCCGAGGCTCCCTCTGCACAGGAGGCCCCCTCTGGTAAGCGACCCTTGATGGGCAGGAGGCCCCGTCTGGCAGGGGACCTTTTATGCACAGGAGGCCCCTTCTGGATTTGAGGCACCTCTCACAAGAGGCCCTATCTGGGCAGGAATCAAGAGGCCCCCTCTGGCAGGAGATCATTCATGAGCAGGAGGCCCCCGAGGCTCGCTCTTCACAGGAGGCCCTTTCTGGACAGGAGCAGGAGGCCCCCTCTGGCAGGAAAGCCTTTATAGGCAGGAGGCCCCTCTGGCAGGACACCTTTTCTGCTTAGTAGGCCCCTTCTGCATGGGAGGCTCCCTTCTGCACAGATGGCCCTATCTGGGTGGGAGCCAGGAGGCCCCCTCTGGCAGGAAATCTTATACTGGGCAGGAGGCCCCCTCTGGCAGGAAATCTTATACTGGGCAGGAGGCCCCGAGGTTTCCTCTACTTAGGGGCCCTTTCTGGGCCGGAGTCAGGGGGCCCCTCTGGCCTCTTGCAGGAGACCCTTTCTGGGCAGGAGGCCCTCTCTGGATGGGAGTCTCTCTCTGCATAAGAGGACATATCTTGGCAGCAGTCAGGAGGCCCCCTCTGCACAAAATGTCCTCTGGGTAGGAGCCAGGAGGCCCCCTCTGGCAGGAGATCCTATATGGGCAGGAGGCCCCGAGACTCCCTCTGCACAGGAGGCCCTTTGTGGGCAGGAGCCAGGAGGCCCCCTCTGGCAGGAGACCCTTTATGGGCAGGAGTCCCCTCTGGCAGAGGACCTTTTATGCTTAGGAGGCCCCTTCTGGATGGGACGCTCCCTTCTGCACAGAGGGCCCTATCTAGGCAGGAGCCAGGAGGCCCCATCTGGCAGGAGCTCCTTTATGGGCAGGAGACCCCGAGGCTTCCTCTGCACAGGGGCCCTTTCTGGGCAGGAGTCAGGAGGCCCCTCTGGCCTCTTGAACGAGACCCTTTATGCCCTCTCCTGATGGAAGGCTCCCTCTGCACAAGAGGCCCCTTCTGGCAGGACTCTCTCTGGATCCCCTCTGGAAGGAGACCGTCTCTGGGAAAGAGGCCATCTCTGGATAGGAGGCCCCTCTTCACAAGAGGTCCTATCCGGGCAGCGCCTCGCCCTGGCAGGGCATTTTTCATAACGCGGCCTGGCAGAGGGGGGGGGGGTCGATGCGACCCCCCTCGCGATTGGATCCTATGGCACCTAGAAATACCAAATTTGGTAGGTAGGTGGCCCTCTTAAAATCCTCGTCCCTGTGCAAATTTGGTTGCTCTAGGTCAATATTTAGGGGTTTTTGGGAGGTATAATTGTAAAAAATTTGCTAAAACAGGTCAAAAGTTTTCGCTGATAACTTTTGATCTAATTAACCCGCGCCGGGCAGGTGCTCCGCGACTTCCGCGCCGGGCCGGGGGGGGGGGGTGTCTGAAAGCCCCCCTTCTAACTCGGCTCCTGGGTCACGTAGCGACACGCGGTAAGCGGCATTCAAAAGAGCGTCCAAAATAAGTACGAAAACACTTCAGTCATTTTTTGGGTCAGGTCAAAGGTCAGGTTACCAGAGGTCACCAAAGGTAAAATGTTGGCTATTTCAACATTTTGGAAACTGCCAACGGCTAACTCGGGAACCGATAGAGCTACAGCGCCGCGGAAAAGCGCATTCGATAGCTCTTTTGACGCTCTTTCGCCAATATGTCCTCAGATTTGACCTCAGGTCAACGGTTTAGCCTCCAGAGGGCAAAAACTCCAAAAATAGCCGTTTTTTACGAACAGTGTTTTTCGGCAATAACTTCTGACTCAAAAAAGCCACGACATTACTTTTGCCAGAATCGTGTTCCTCTTGTCAAAACGCGTCGAATGAACTATAAGTTGACCTTGAAAAGTCAACTTAAAAATTTGACCTCAGGACCTGACCGGAAAAGGTCATGTTGCATATCAGTCGATCCGCATCGTCGAGCCGAACACATCTAAGGCGTTTTCATCGCTCTATCATGCCTCTATCAGAAGTTATTAGCAAAAAACTGTTAGATACTATTCGTGACCTGAGATGACCTCGGGGACATCTCAGAACGAGGGGTCACACTCCGGGTCACAGGTGCAATTTTCGGGTTCAGTGTGTCCATTTTACCTACATCCCGATGTTTGAGAGTGTCTAGAATGGCGTTCGTGCAAAACAGACGCCTTTCAATTTTCTCCCATTGAATTATAATAGAGAGGCCGCAAAATTGACCTGACCTTAGGTCACCGATATCGAAATTCCGAGATACACGTTTAATAGGTTTTTATACACGCTTTTATAGGATACACGAGATACACTGTTACTCTCATCAATCGCTGAAAGTTTCAAGGCAATCGTGCGGTCGGTGTAGCCATGACGAACATTCTAATTTGTTTCTGACCTGCCCTTGAGAGACCTGGGTCTGAAATTTTCACAGCATGTGCGGAAAAGATGCACGAACAGGTGTGTTAAAAACGGCGGCGCGGAGCTGCGAAAAGCCGCCGGGGGGGGGGGGGGTGTTCAAACACCCCCCGGCCCGGCGCGGGTTAAGATAGAGCAAAACAAAAGCACCAGTGAACTCAGCACGTCAAGGCGTGTCGAATGATATACTTTTTTTGTTTGCTTAAGTGTACTTAAAAGTGTAGGTATTAAAGTGTACTTAAGTGCACAACTTAAGTAAAACTTAAGTCTTAGGAATGGTTGAAATGCTTAATGTTGCATATCATTCGACTCAGCTGTTCAAGAGGAACAGAATGATACCATTTTGAAACCTGTTCTATTATGTGACAAGTTATCGGCACAAACGTCATTTGACCTGAGTTGACCTCATTTGACCTGAACCTTAGATAAGTACACCAAACAAAGAAACACCGAGTGACATTATGTTAAGTACTG